AACAATTTTATAATTTAAATGACCTTTAATCACTTTAAATTAAATCACTTTTAACTGCTCTCATTTTTCAATTCAATAATTTCTCCCTTTATAAATATATCTCTTTAATTTAACTTTTCAATTACAATTACGCAATATTTTTCTACATCTTTCTTAAATTATTAATCATATTCTTTTAATAAAATTTTCTACAAAAATTTAATTAGTGCTTCTCTTTCACTTATCAATTCTATATCCTCAAAACTCTTCTCAACAACTCCTTTCTTCTTATGAATAGAATAGTAGGAAGCACTTAATCCATTTTCAAAATCCTTTCTAATAACCTCCTAACCAAATATAATAAAATCTTTGCTAACCATAATTTATATTATTTAAATTAGCTAATTTCTTTTTCAGATTATTAACCAATTACTGCATTTGTTTTTCTGCTCAGAAACTTCAATCACAATTCAAAAAGATTTGGTTTATCTGATTTCTTTTATAAATTAAAAACCTTATATTAGATAGTTATATATATAGAACGCTCAAACCTGAATATAAACTAGCTTCTTTCTTATTGTGTTATAAATATATTTTTCAAATGTCTGTCTTAAGTAGTCAAAAGAAAGAAGTTGTATTCTCATGAAACTTAGCAATCAACAGACCTTCCTTTATTCAGATTATAGCTAATGTTTTAACCAACAATTATTTTATCTGCCAACATTTTACTTCTTTTAATAATTATAACAATGTTTGTTTACTTTTAAAATGCCCTGGATGTCTACTTAGTATGCAGCCTGTTAGATCTAGACATTGCATAATTAACATCTTCAAAAATAGTGCTTTCAAAGTTCAAATAGTATTCAAATAATCACACACGCTTAAATATTAACTCAGACATTCACTTATAGAGATTACTCATATCACTTATATAAACTGTTATGATACACAAAGTGTTTATACTTCATCTGATCCACTTTTGAATAATATTGTTGACCTTCTTATTAGATCCTCAGCATATACTTCAATGCTTAAACATATTCAATCTACCCTTAACAATGTCTCTTCAGTTAAATTTTACATAGATAGTTCTTTAATAGAATCTCAAATAGATAACTGTAAGATGAGATTAGGTTAAATATATATAGATCCTGCAAATAATCACTATTTCTTTAAAGCTTCACTTGTTAACTAGCTCTCTTCAACAAGAACTGAAATGTACATTCTTCTCACAACTCTCATTGTATTTCCTAATAAAGTGGTTATAAACATTTACTTAGATAACCAGGTTACCATTCACAGATTTGATAACTATGTACTACTTAACCAGTTATCATTAAGAAAGTTCAAAAAATCCCTAATTATATGATCTAAAAACTTATCTGATACATTATTGATTATCTCAATCTTTATGTCACATTTTATATGATTAAAGCATACAGTTAACTCTTGTTATAACGAACTTTATGTCTTAGACCTCAACTTTGCTATAAGGTTATAGTGAAGATTTTAAGAGATTTGATTGGCCAATTCACTATAACAAGAGTATTTTTATTATATTTATTCAAAAAATTCGTTATATCAAGAGTTCGCTATATGAAGAATTGACTGTATATAGGAATCTATTATAATGAAATAGCAGATAAATTAACAAAAGAAAGATACCGTTTACCATCTTTATCTTTAATTCTTAATAATATTCTATATCAAATTTATTATTTTATTTCTATAATATTTCTATTGAAGTATCTATTCACGCTTTCTTCAAATAATTCTTTGCAGCACAGAATTTTAGCAACTTTCTGAATTTAAACTGCAATTGTAATCTCAAAATACTCATTAAAAATAAATTTATTGATTGGTTCATCATTTGGTCTTTGCTGTCAATGAACGAATCTTTCCTTATTACATCCTTTATTTCAAGCAAACTCAAATTATTTATTATCAAAAATTTTACTAACGAGCTACCTTCGCTATCACGCCTTTCCTTATTGCATCCTGATCTATATGAATACTAGTATTGTGTAAGTTGTAATATTATTACTGAGACTTCTACACACATCTGAAAATGTTCTGCTTATTCCTCTAAAATGTTGAATACAATCAAAACTGTTAAAAATAATCTTATATATCATATAACTCAAACTGCATTAGATATATAATACACTAAAAGAACCTTTTAAATACATTAAATACTATTTTTACGTTATCTATAGCTTACTCTAATGGTTATATAAATATCAACCAATCCAGAATTCCTTTATCTCTAGTGGACATTATATATAAAATTATCAGAAATAAAAATAAAAGTCTTTTATCATATTATAATTGCTTCTAATCTTTTATCAAAAATTATTTGATAATATATAGAAATACCGTTGTAATTTATTAATTACTAAAGAGTGATCAATGAGTATCACTAAAAAAAACAAGCTTAAACGAGATGCCAATTCATCCTAGTCACATGAATAGACATCTAACCTCTCTTATAATTAGAAGATTTAGATACACTTGGTAAATAAATTTGGTTACGCATTTTCAGATTTTTAGATAGACACTAACTCTTTCTTTTTTTCTCTTGTTGATATCAATCTTTATTAAGTATGTATCTAGTGGAATTAATGGAGGGGAAAGACAATAATAGGTTGATTTAAATGGATTTGTAATATAATTATTATAGATGAGGGACGAAACCCCTTAATAAGTGTTGAAACTTAAACAAAACTATATTAAAATCATAATAAGAGATACGACGAAACCCATTTGATATGACGAAAGCCAAAACTGTTAAAATTATATTAAAAATATAGAAAAGAATATGACTAAATTATTTTGGTTTCAGCAGGCATCTATAATAACCATAAAGGATAACTAGTACTTAACATAAATTTATTTTGATTTACTCTGTATTTCTTTATATATAAATTTAATAAAATAACTGGTAGTGCCATATCGTTAAAGAAAAAAAAGGTCTAATACATCAACTATTCTTCTATATTCTTCAAAATTTATATTACTATAGCTAGGATTAGGAATTGTACTAGTACTGTTCTAAATATTGTATTGTACTCAAATATTATAATATAATGCATTTTGTATATTTATAATCACGTGATATAATTAAGATTATATAAAACAATTAATTAAAATAAGTACAATCCCCAGTGAAAAGAATGGCAGTAGAAGACCGCATCTATTTTAGGTTGCAGTTTCACCACTTTTTGGATTTAGGCATTTGTTTATATGCCCAAATCGAACATTGGAACCTGAATTAAAAAGGTAAATTAAAAAAATAAGGTTTGTTATTTGTTTTTATTTTGATTTCTTTTTTGAAATTATGCCAAGCTCTTTAGAAATACAAAGAAATTCTGTTAAATCACTTTAGGATCAAAAAGTGCGTAATGCAAAGGAAATTTCTAATTGATTATACATTTCTTTACACACATGTAAACAATATATCAGTTTACTAAATAAAACTGACAAAATTTCTATTGGTCACTCTTCTGGCCATCCAAGAAAATTGATTTCAAATTAATGCTGCCATATTGGAAAAATTCTGCAACATAATCATTTTACAATAGCAGGCGAACTTAAGGCAAAATTGAAAGAAAAGATCCCAACCTTGATGTCAGTGAACGTACAATATGTTATGAGCTCAACAATCTTAGATATGTTTCTGTTCTTCCAAGAAAGGTTCCTCTTTTGACTCAAAAAGCGAAGGATTTTTGTTTGTCTTGAACATGTAACCATTCGCAATACAACTGGAAAAAAGTTATTTTTTCTGATAAAATAATACCTTAGTGTTTAGAAATACTATATGTTCATAGTCTCATAATGCACAACCAATTGCCCCTATGATAAAGCACTTATTCAAGGTTCATGTTTAGGCAGCAATTAGTGCTAAAGGAAAAATCAGCATTCATTTGTTTACTGAAAATTTAGATCATTATTTGTATCAAAAAATCTTGGATAACTATCTGTATAACAATGCGAATATATTATACAGACGTGATTGGGTCTTTTAATAAAATAATAACCTAAATACATCTCACATAATGTTCAAGGGAACTTGAAAAAATATCTTTCAAGACAAGTTCTTTCTTAGTCTTCATATAGCCCAGACTTGAATCCTATTGAAAATGTATAGGCTGTATTAAAAGGAAAGGTGGAGAAAAAGATCAAGTATTTAGTAGCAAAAAAAAAAATTACCTGCGATGTATTCTTTAATATGATCTGGCAGGAATGAGACGCTATATTACTTTAGTGCATTGAGAGCATGCTAAGCTGAGTTAAAGCATATATCAATACAGAAGGAGAATATACCAAATATTAATTAATAATATAAAAGTTGTCATTAGTATTATTCTTATAAATAATAAAAAAATATATATACATTAAAATAAAGTTTGTACATATTGTCAAAATATATTTTCGCTATTTTTTTCATTAAGGACTGTAAATTAATTTTAAATTTTATTTTACAGGAGGTAAATTATAAATTTTTTTTTTGTCTTTCAAATCAGGTTTAGAAAATCATAGTTAAGTTTTTTTAATTTGTTTTAAAAAAAAAAATAATAAATTCAGGTAATTCCTATAGAGAAAGAATAGAAATAATAATTATTTTTTTTTAATTTGTTTAAAAAAAAGAAACTAATTACCTTTTTTGTAAAATCTAAAAGTTTTCATTCTTGATTGAAGATAAGTTTCTATAGAGAATATAGAGAGAGCGTTAGATAATAATATATTTTTTTTTATTTTTTTATATTATATTGAATGTACAGGAATGCAAACAACCCTTCTAATCCAGTGTAACTATTAGTAAGGCTGTAAATATCATCTACAACCTTTTCATTAAAATGGAGATTTAAATTCTCTTAGATATCATAATAGAATTGTATATGTTATTCTTTGGTAAAATCTGACACCTCAATAATTTTTGCTAAATTTAATAGTAATGAAACTCCTTCAGGTTTTGAAGACAGGACTGAATCAGTTTCCTTAATAAACTATTATCTAACAAATTATCCTGTGATAATTCCTGTGATGACTTTTATGATGACTTTTTTAACTTGATGATTTTTATCTTCAAGTATTGTAGTAATTGCAAAACTGCCCGTAAAAATAACTAATTTGATTCCTCTTGCTCCCCTATTATTTACAAGTTTAATGAGTTCTCTCATCTGATCAATTGTGTTCACAAGGCTTTGTTTTGATTAAGTAAGAATCAGTTAATTCATCGATCATAATTACAATATGCTTCTTGTAAAATCAAATGATTTCATGATCGAATTCATTTATGTTATTATATAAATTTAAAGAAAGTTGATTGTACAATCTATGCAAGAATCCATTTGCTAATAATGAAGCTTATATATAAAAATAATTTTCTTTAATATCACTTAAATAATATAGAATTAATGATTTTTCAGATTGAAAATGACCTACTAGGAGCACGCATACCTTTTCATTTATGGTCTTCTCCAACTTAGAGGTTAATTCCAGAATATCAAATGGAATATAAAAATTTTTTGTAATATCTACAGGACCTTTAGTTTTCACAAGTTTACGCATCCTTTAGTTTTGAAAATAGGATTTAAAATTTGGTCGTTTAAGATTTATATGAGAAAGATAATTTAAATTTAGTGAATCAGTACAAAATTAATATTAGGTAAACCATTGGAAAACACTTACCAGTGGTAGTAGGCGGTAGAGGTTAGATAATTATGTGTATGTGTTCCTTTAAAGGATACTGTGAATGTTGAATTAATAAGCTAAATTTAGTCTATCTCTATACTTCTGAATTCTTGTTCAATGTCAATATCTATACGCAGATTCTTCTTCAGTTCTGAATACTTTTTATTATTTCTGGTAGAAATCTCAACATTTCATAATTTGAGGTTTAATTCATTTATTACTTCAGTATTGATAAAGTAGTCCTTGTTCTTTTTTCAGAAGGCTTTACTTAATTTTGCAAAGTCCTTGAATTCACTGATCTCAAAATTAAAAGAAGTATCGCTACCTAAAATAAAACAGCTGATCATTATATATCTTCTACAAATGCAAAAATTGAGAGTTAAAATCAAGGTTCAAAAAAGTACAATATCACATGAGTCACATGAGAGTGCCAATCAAAATAATTTCCAGTTCATATTTTGAATGTTATGGTTACACATTTGCAAGGAAGTGACTCAGAGCTTACAAAGCTAATATTTATTTTCATTAAGCAGAAAATATAAACTTTCGGTAAGTTTAATATTGTTAATTTATTTCTGACTCTACGTATTCTATGCATAATTAACGATTATTTTATTCTATTCAGAATATCAATATTGAAAGCAGATAAGTTAATATTGAGATATTATATTATTATAAATAGTTTAACACTTGTGTAAATATAGAAGCACTATTTTACTTTGTAGAATAAGTTTATGTATTATTAAATCATGTAATTTATTTTTTATATTAATAAAGAATTCAAACTGAAAATGCTATACAGTCAGACCTGTCTATAATCACCACTTTTGGTTTTCAAAAATTATGTGATTATAAATAGGGGTGATTATATATAGTAAACTATATATAATCACCTGCGG